ATAGTGATCCTCTTGCTTTCAGCCTTCCCAGTGCTGGGATCACAGGTGTATGCCACCACGCCAGGACTCTATAAACATATATTCTTATTTAGTTTTTTTCTTCCTTCTTTTCCTTTCTCGCCTTTTTTTTAAAAAACGGTGATGCGATGTAGCTCAAGCTGGCCTTGAACTCACTATGTAGCCAGCTGGCCTTAAATTTGCAGTGATCCTCCTGCCTCAGCCTCCTAAGTGCCAGAATTACAGGCATGGACCACTACACCTGGCTTTCTCATCTAGTTTCTATGGGTCAAAAATCCGGAAGCAGTTTAGCTCAGGGTTCTGGCTTGGGGTCTCTCTTGCGGCTGCAGGCAAGCCATCAGCCTGATAGCTTAACTGGGGCTGGAGGCTGTCCCCAGATGACTCAGGCACAGGCTGCTGGCAGGGCCCTCGCCACGTGGGCCTCTGCACAGGGCTGCCTGTGTGTGCCTTGACCTAGTGGCTGACTTCCCCCAAAGCAAGTGACCATCCAAGGGAGCAAGGGAAAACACTCCGATGTCTGTGTGACCATTGCATGGGGGGAGAGGGTGTGCAAGACAGCAGGCCTGCCATGAGGTGGGCTAACTGGGGGCCATTGTGGAGGAGATGGTCACTGTGAACACACATTTACATTTTCCATGCACCTGCTCTTTCTAGATGCTCTCCTCGGCTTCAGCAAGTACAAGAATGAGTCAGAACCAGCCCAGCCCTTGCAGGATTTGCTCGTGGGTCTGTGTGTGTTGGGGTGTGGGCAGTGAGGTCAGACATCTATGGAAGCAGATGGTGTTAACAAAACTCAATAAGTAGCACACTAGTAGCATAGTGGTTCTTGAAAAGAACTTTGCTGTAATGCATATTCATGCACAACATTTAAAGCACATCACGAAAAGAAACTCCCCTCCCCTCCTTAATCTGCAGCCAACAACTCCCCTGGCTAAGAGGCAATGACTGCAGCCTAGTTCTTTTAGAACTATTCCATGGTACACAAACACATTTCCTGCCTCTTTAAACAACGGGACAGCACTGTCCATGGTACCACGTTCTGCAGCTTGCCTGTTTGGTCTTGCTTTGCTCTATCTTGCAAGTTAACCCCACACTGAGAGCTACATTGTTCTTATTTATGGCTGCATGATATTCTAATGTCTGTGTAAGCCACCATTTATCTAACTACTCCTCTATCATCAAATATTTGGTTTATTTCTAATCTCTTGTTAGAGACAAAGTTTCCATCCCTTTCCACTCTATGCAGAAAAATGGAGGACTTCCGCTGTGGAATTGAATCCCTATCTTGAGCCCACCAACAGGGCCATTAACTTCTGGGCATTTAGGCCTGATTGGGTTGTTATTACCTGTAGCAGCTGCAAGGAACATTGTCTCATAGTAACTCTTAGAATGTCAGTCCCAAAGGCTGGTGTTTAAGAGCTAAGTAAGTAGTGGTGGAATGAATGAATGGGTGGGTGAATGACCGAGTCTAACCGAAGGATATGTGTAAGAGGCTATTACTTCTGAGCCAAGACAGAGTCCTCCTCCTCTCCCTCCCCTTTTGAACCTACCCTCCCTTCCTCCTTCCTCTTAATCAGCTGAGCCAGCTCTTAGCATCTGTCAGGTCCTTGTCCCAGTCCCTGTCCCAGTCCCCTGTGCTCAGGTCCACTCCCCCCACCCATCCTCCTTCTCAGCAGCTCCATGCTCTGCAGAGAATGGGGAAATGTACCCCAGAAGGCCACACTTGCTTTCTTGTACTTCCTTGCCTACCTTCTCAACCTGCCCGCTTTTCTGGTTTCCTCTCCCACTCACCCTCCTTGTCCCCACCTCGCATACCCCATGCTCTGCCAGAAAGAAGAGGAGTCACTTACACTGACCACGGACCACGTGTACTTTGACGTGGATTATCACACTTACACCTCACAGTATCCTAAAAAAAAGTCTAATACTTTTATAAGGGTGAAGCTGTTGTCATCCCCATTCTAAGGATGAGGAAACAGAGGGCCAGAGACATTTGGGAGCTTGCTGAGGTCACCTGCTACAAGATGCAGTGCTGGTGTCGCAAATCACTCAGCCCTACTCTCTGGCTGATTATCTTCACTCCCCTGTCCTAGCAGGCTGCCGGTCTTGGCGTGTGCTGTCTCCCTCATACTCCTTCTCTCTCGCCCAATACTGCCATTCCCACCTACAGAATCCTTGTATGTTCTTGAAGTTCTTGATTATGAGCCACGTCCTCTTCAGAGCCTTTTCCAGATTCCCTAGGACGATCTGGTTCCTCATTCTTTGACTCTGCCATTGAGATCCTAACACTGTGATTATCTTGGAGACCCGTCTTCTGCTCCCAGCTGCATCCCCCCATGGGCAGGAACAGTGCTGGACCTCCGTCTAGTGTCTCCCTCCCAGCCTAGCACAGAACAGCTGCTTTCTAAATGTCTGATGACTGAATGACAGGGTCTGAGGACTCTTTCTCTCAACATGGAGTTGGGAAAAGGGGGTAGAAATCTGCAGTTGAGAGCTGGGCAGAGTAGGAAGTTGTAGAGCCCTCAAATGGGGGAAGCCCTCTTCCGGGGGGCCGGCTGGTGAGAATTTTACTCACCACTTGCCCTTGGGTCAGAACTGTCCCGGGTGATCTAGCTGGGGAAGTTCCACGCTTGCACTACTCCCTAGAGGTCCTTGGGAAGCAGCTGCCCGCCCCCTACTGGGTTTTTCCCTCTTGCAATGCCAGGAACTGAGCCGTGATAGGAAATGACCCTGGCAGAGTCTCTGGATGCTGCAGGAGGAAGTACAGCAAGAGTTTCTGTGCACAGCACTTGGGGCACACCAGACAACACCCTTCAGACCTCTGAGACCAAGGGGTTACACTGCTTTGGTAAGACAGTAGTTCCGGGGAGGGAAGGGACTTTTTTGGGGTGGGAGGGAAATTGCCCCATCCTCGGAGCGGTGGTGTAAGCACTGCCCCATATTGCCACTCAGCAGCCCTGTCGTAGTGCCTTGGCTAGGACTGTGGGCAGTTTCTGAGCTTCTCTTGCAGGGCTTTAAGAGATGCCTCAATCTCTGGCCCCCGCCCTTATCCACTCAACTTTTCTGCCTATGGCTGCCTCACTCAAGAGTTTACTAAGGCTCCCTATGATGTCAGGTCCCAACACACTATATCCCAAAGGTGGAAACAGGACAGGAGAGAGGTTAGAAGTGTGTGCTCAGGGGTTGTTGGCAGAATATGAGTCCAAAGTGCAACTCATTGTGGGACTCTGGCTCATTCACTTTACCTCCTTCAGCTCCAGTTCCTTTGTCCATAAGAAAATGATAAAATTTGAAAGCATCAAAATTAAGCAATCTGTTCAATAAAACAAATTTATTGAAAAGAAGTCATCCTAGACTAGTTGTTCTCTAAATGTGGACCTTGGACCATCAGCATTGCCTGGGCAGACTTTCAACATTCCCTGGGCACTGGTTAGAAATGCAGATTCCTAGGCCCTGCCCCTGCTCCCATGAGTCAGAAACTCCGCAGTAGGGCTCAGCACTCCGTTTTACCAAGTCCTGAAAGAGACTGTGGTGCAAACACCATTAATAAACTTAACAGATGGGCAACATATTGGGAGAAGGTATTTGGAACATCAACATCCAACGAGGGATTGATAACTAAAATTTGTGAACCAACAAGAAAAACACAGGAACTCCAACAGAAAGCAAGCAAAAGGTACGAACAGGCAGTTCACAGAAGGGGAAGCTTAAACGCCTGGTGAACATGGGAGGAAATTAAGAGAAATGCAAGCTAAACAGGGATCTGCCACCTTACACTGGACGCAATAGGCCACACAGATACAGTCGGGAAATGTAAAAGCTTTTGAAAACGTGGGGAGACAGCATCATTCTCACGCTGTCGGAGGGGTCATTCTGGAAGAATTCAGTGACACTTAAAATGCTTGTGTGCTGTGAGCTACTAATTTCTCTACTGGGAATAGAGCACCAAGTTTTCTGTGGTCCACGAGGGTCAAGCACACAGACGTTCACTCAGTACAGCGTTGTTTGCGGTACGAGTGTTGGAAGCAAGCTGGGTGTCCATCACTGGGGAGACAGACAAGGATGCTTAGCTTGGGCTGCTCTGCAGCAGATGGGCACGCTACGTTAGATTTTCTCACAGCAACATGGGTAGATCTTAAATACATTCTGGAGTGAAAAGGGAAGCAACAGCATGAGATCCTTACGCAACACCACTTATGTAAACACACAGTGTGGTGCGTGCTATGTCAGGGAAACATCTTTACATATGGGGCGAGTGCTCTCGGCGCAAGGGGCCGGCGTGTGAGGAAGTGTGGCCAGAAAGGCAGCAAAGGAGCGCATCAGAAGGGCTTCGCCACCATGATGGCTGAGGATGACTCATGACACGGTGCAGACCTACATTCCTAACAGTAATATTACCCAAAAATTGATGGTGGCTGGACCTTCTTTTCTGTCAGTGCCATACATCTGGCACAAGAGGTTTTGTAAGAGTCTACAAATTAATTGTAGCTCTTCTAGGAGTGTCTCTGGCTTCCTCTCAAAGGCTTAGGCTGTGCCAAGCCAGGACTCGTCTTGACCTCTCTAGCTCTCCGGCTCTGCCTTCAAATTGTTTTGGCTCCCCCGGGTCTCGATCTGAGGAGTCTTGGTTATTTCTGTGTGGAGCTTGGGCACAGAGCCCCAGAGAGCTGCAGGGTGAGTCCTGTTTCTCCTCCCACGCCATGAGCTCCCTGACAGTCTTATTAACACCTCACCTCAACCCACAGCTCCCATCCCATTGCCCCAGAAAGACAGTCAACCGAGCCACAGGTGTTCCATGAGGGAGTGAGCAGTGTTTATTGAGCACCTACTATGCCCTAGGCCCAGCGCTAAGGTCTTGCCCTTTATTATATCCTCATGACCACCCTGTGACGGTGGGTCTGAAAAGACTGGAGAAATGAAGAAATTCCAGGTAACATCTAGGAAGAATCAGGAGATTCTCTCAAACCTCTTGCTGTTTTTTAGAATTAGAACTCAGTTTCCAAATCTGTAAAATAGAAGGAACAGAGGTCTGTGGATTGAAACCGAAATTCCTTTCTTAGTCTGCCAGCAGGTGGAGCGCTTGTTCATCCTTCGGCCGGCCGAGGCGCCGCTGAACTCCGGACTGCGTAGGACATTAGGATCCGCCCTCGCCCTCCCCCTGCAGGACATTCTTGATACTGCAGGGACCGAGCAGCCAAGGACATGGAGGGAACCTGCGGGATGGTACCCCAGAGAGCAAGGATGCCTAGGGATGGGTCCCACAGGCGAAAGTGAGGAAGCCTTAGAGGCGGCTGCAAGAGGCACAGGCTACAGGTAGTTGTCTTCTGCCACGTCGCCCCCGACCTCCCCATCGTCCTCGTCCTCGTCGTCGTCGGGGGCCAGAGCCTCGATGTCGTGCGTGATGTCAGCCAGCAGACGGTGGAAGGTCTGATCCTCCGGCCGCTGGGCTGCACCGTCATAGCTGCGCACTGCCGAGGCCGACGTGGAGCTCATGCTGCGCTTGATGCGGCCAAAGCTGTCGGTGAGGATGCCGCCCTCGCGGATGCCCATGCCCTCCAGGAAGCCCTCGAAGTAGCGCGCGTCCTGGTCTGGGATGAAGGGCCGCATCCCTGCGGGCCGCGGGCCAGGGTGATTCCCAGGGTTCAGCCCTGTCCCTCCCATGAAGGAATCTGCCTGTGACATCCTAGTTCTGACACTCGCTGGCCGTGTGGCTTTGCCCAAGTTCTTTAACTCTCCGCACCAGAGGATCAGCATGCAGCAGGTGCTCTGTCCACGACGGCTGGGACTGCTAAGCTGGCATATATGAGCTACAGGACTTGCACTCTGGGCCTCGATTTCCCCATCTGTAAAACTGAGATAATTGTACCTATTCTCCTGGTGGGTACGTGAAGACTAAATAACAAGGAGCTTTGCACATCTGTACACCCCACACACACTGTCTCACTTCACCTCCACCTCTGCTTACTAGCTATTTGATCTGGTACTTTGCTGCTCTGGGCCCGTTTCCTCTCCAGTACAATAAGAACACATAATCATATCTACTTCCCTGAAGTGGGGGTCCCTCCACGAATGGTGCTTGGCTCATAGTAACTCCAGGCTAGCTCACAGCATTATTATTCCTGTTGTGGCTGTTAGCCCACCTTCTTAGCTGTGTGACCTTGGATGAGCTCCTTAGCCCCTGTGAGCTTCAGCTTCCTCATGAGGAAAGATAGGAAGGCTCAGGCTCCCTCCTGACTTTGCCCTGGAGGTGAAATGGCTGCAGCAGGACCTCATTCCTGTAGCTTTGTTTCCTAACTGTTGTGAATCCTGTCCTTTTTCTGTCCCTCCATCTCCTTGTCTGCCCCATGACCTCAAGATTTCAACTTTATCAGAGACTGAAGGATAAGGAGAAAACCCTCCAGGGTGGTACCTGTTTAAGAATGACACAGACCCAAGTGGGGCGTCTGCTGCCCACAGAGTGTGGTAGGGTGGTGGGTCGGGGCTCACCGAGGAGTAGGAACTTGCGGCGGTCTCCATAGAGCTTCAGTAGGCCAGCGCAGAAGTCCTGGATGGGCAGCCCCAGCCGGTACTCCCGCAGGAGCAGCGCAAACTGCTGGATCTCAGAGGACCCCAGCTTACTCCGCAGCTGTGGAGGGACCCCCTTTGGCAGCAGTCCCAGGAGTGAGCCTGCCCAGCCCCTGCCTGAAGGAACCAGAGCCCTCTCTGAAGGCACACACGGCTTGAGCCCTCTCTGAGAACCCCTTCTGTGGCCCACTCAGGAGACTCAGACCCCTGCATTGCATCTGGCATTGGCTACTGCAGTTCCAATCCTGGTCCCCTTGGGGTCACAAACTGCTTGACCCCAGCCCGCCTCTCTGTGAGTGAAATGAGGACAGCACCTCCCTCTTGAGGTTGTTGAAAAGATGAAAAGAAATGGTACATGAAAGGTGCTTACAAAGCACCCAGAACACAGTACACACTCAGTGTCAGCTGGCATGAGTCAAGGCCTTTCACAGGCTGGCCTCACTTTGCCTGCCTGCCCTGAACTTTGAGGCCTTGGCCCTTGGCACATCCAGGGCCATGTATGGCTGCTCCAGCCTCCCAGCCTCCCAGCTCACCGTGACCATGTAATCCTGCAGCTGCTCGAGACTCAGGCCGCTGTGGTCACTGCCACTGCAGTGCGAGCCGTGGAAAGAAGGAGTGGATGTTCCGCTGTAGCATGCTTCAAATGTGTCCTGGGAGCCATTGCTGCAGGGACAGGCAGAGCAGGGCTTTTACTTGCCTCCCTCCAGCTCCTCTTTCCAGGCAGGCTGGAGGTGGGTGGGCTCAGCTACCAAGGCCATGGGCCTGAGGCCTCATCTGAGACCCCACTTTGGCCCCCAAGATCCCGCCTTCTGGCCTGAGGTCACTTCTGGAGCCCCCTGTCTCACTGCCTCCCACCCCCGTGTTCTGGCTCCCAGCTTTCTCCTTTTCTCTCCTGTACTCGAAGCATCTCCTTGGCTCTGGGCCTTTGCACACACTGCTGCCTCGGCCTGGAATGCCTCGCCTCTTACCTCATGTTCAAGCTATCTCTTGGTCATCATCCAGTTCTGTCACTCCTCAGGAAATTCTTCTGCAAGCCCCAGACTGGATCAGACCCTCTGCTAAATGTGCTCACTGAGTCACGTTTCCCCATGACAGGCAGGTCTTTCCAGATACCCCACCAAACCCTGGATTGCTCCCTGAAAGGGCTACTTTGCCACTAGCCTGGTAGCCTCCTGCCTGATCCTCACATGGCCAGAATCGTTGCTCTTGCTGTTCCCTCTACTGATGTTCCTTCCCCTTCATGCTCCAGGTTTTTATACAAGGCCCTCCTGACTCCCCATGTGGCCTCGGGGCCCCTGGCCTCCCTCAGAGCAGGTAGAGCTTTTCTTTGGTGCTTAATATCACCAATGCTTATTACTACTAAATATCAAGCTCGTTGCCTGCTGTTAGATGGTAAACTTGGCACAAGCTGTAGCTTCCCTGGGACTCGTGTATGTATCCCTGGCCTGTACCCAGCTGCTTGATTCTCGGATGGCTAAACTTTAATTCTCTATTCCTCAGCTTCTCTATCTGTAGGATGGGGTGACAAGAATTGGCACTACTGTGAAAAACAGAGGTATTAAAATTTATAGAATACTTAGTCATGGACTATATTCAATCAATTTTAGCCACAGTAATGTTGCCATGTAGTTGCTAATAACAAAAAAAAAATGAGTGCTTTATAGAATAGCATTTGGCACAAAGCAAGCTCAATAAATGTTAGCTCAATGTTAGATTTTCATCTCTAATGAAAATAGTAGATATCAGGTTGTTTATGGCCTCGCCTAAGGGTACACTGTATTAGAAAGGCAAGTCTATTGCCACTAAAAAGATAGCACAAATAGTAGAGCATATATTATTGGCAGGAACCGCAACTTGCTTGTCCAAAGTCCTTTGTAACATGACTGGGGTGACTAATAAGGATTTGTCGAGGACATTTTTGGTTTTAGAATTAAAATCCCATATCCTGGGAAACCCCTCCTTGCTGAGCAAACTGAGATGGTTAGTCACCCTAAACAGAACCTGGGCAATGTTCCCAACTGAGAAAAAACCATTTCAATCCTACGTTTTCAGCCTTGCTTACAGCTAGTTATACCATGCGACCAACTTCTGATGAATGGGATGTAGGCGAAGTCACTGGGTGTGAATTCTAGGAAATAATGTTTTTCTTGCCCTGCTGGGGATCCATCCCAGGGCCTTGCTGAGTGTGCAGTCTACCAGTGAGATACACCCAGCCCCAGGATGAAATTCCTGAGAATTTCCTTGCTTGCTGCTATGATGGCTGGAGCCATCATCAAAGTGGCATTGAGGATGCAGCCAGTTCCAGGGAGCATGGGACAGGGAAAGAAGCCTAAGGCCCAAGCGATCACCAGGACCCGGATGCTTGCTCTATTTTATATAAGAAACAAAAAAGAAAGCTAAAAAGAAAAGAAAAGGCAAACAAACAAACTAGCTACACCTTTTTTAAGATACTCAGTTTGGGGTTTTGCATTACACACAGTAAACCACAATGGATTCTGGGGGGAAAAGGGGGGGCATTTCTGGCATTGGCTGTGACCTGGGATCTGCAGCACTGAGGCAGGATCTGGCTCCGGGCTCTGGTGTCCTGGGTCTCTTGGGGACCTGGATCCTATGAGCTCACCAGAGTCTGGTGCTCAGCTTTCCTCCCACCCTCTGTGCCTAGTGTCTCCGCACCAACAAGGGTTGGACTCTGTTTGGTCCAGGACAGAACTTATTTGTGCAAGGGCAGGGGAGCGATGGTGCCCTGACAAGGTCTGTACTTACAAGGAGCTGCAGCAGCTGAAGTCAGCGTCATAGGCATAAGTCCCATCAGTATGGCAGCTCTCACCTGCGACCAACAGAGGGACTATCAAAATGGCAAAGCAGGACATCCCAGGCTTTGGGGCCCCAGCATACATCAGACCTTGGGCAACTCTTCTGCTCACTGCCAGCACAATACCCTTTCTTGCCTACCTCATGGGGCCAGGGCAGAGCAGGTGCATGTTGGGAATGTGTGTGTGGCAAGCTGTGTTTGAAGCAAGACAAGAAGATTTTTGCAAAGGGGGAGGAAGACTTCAGGGAAAACCAGCACCATCCACAGAGAATGTCCCCTCTTACCTGCCTGCTGTCTCACCTGTTAGGCACTAGAGTTACCCTTCTAATCTCAGTGCTTTTAGTGTCACTTTGTCATCCTAATTTCTCTGATGAGTTCAGTTCCTCTTTACACATTCTCTGTGTTTATACGCCTATCTGTATAACTATTTCAAAACTGTCAGACCACCTCTACCCAAGCTTCAGGAAGACAGAGCTGGATCTGGTTTTTGCCACAAGCATATCCCGATGGTTAGCCCTGGATCTGGCATAGGAGATGCCAAACAAATGTTTATTTAATGAATGAGTTTATGAACTACTTATTGGCTTATATCAGGTATTAGCTTGCCATCCTATTGAGATTTGATGAGCTATCCCAGCTTCCCAACAAGCATAGCTTCCACAGATGGAGGCCTTCAGAGGACAAGTACCAGTGCCCTGCTGCTGGGGCTATGTCAACGTGGACCTACTGCAAAGGCCTGAAGCCATAGGAATTCCCTTAATGGCCTTGAGTGCAGCATGGGAACTGAGGCTGTTGCAGATAGAAACTTTGGAACTAGATGCAACTGTGTATGAGCCCACCATTTGCGACCCGGGAGATTCAAGGTCCCCATCTATAAAACTCGAATTAGATGGCCCCAGAGTACCCCTTGGGTGTCTGAAATGTACCTAGTCCTGTGCTAGGCTGCCAGATAGACAAGTCACTATAAGGACTCAGTAACTCTTGGCACCTTGTCACAGTGTTTGGAACATAGTTGGTGCTTAATAAATGCTTCTGTTAGCTTCATTCTCATTCTAAAACCTGACTACAACCAAGGACTAGTCTGGAAAAGTTAGTTTTGACCCTGGCATCTCATTGGACTGGACAGCTCAGCAGGCAGACATGCATGTCTTAGATTTCTGCAAAGCAGAGGCACCCAAGTCAAGGGAGAGAAAAGTCTAAGTGTGAGGGACTCATTCTGAACCTGGCAATCTGAACACCTTTGATGAAACTAGGTTTGAAGAGTGTTGAAGACTGACATCTTATTATTTCACCCACCTACTAAGGGGACATTAATGGTGGCTGAGATTGAGACCCTAAAGGCTTTCATCAGCCCTGAGTGCTCAAGCACCATCCCTGTTTGACAGGAGAGGCGGCCTGGGGCCTGGGTACTCACTTCGGCTGCGGAGCCAAGGACGTTCGGGGGTGGACGTGTAGTGGTAGCCAGCCCGGTCCACACACTCAATGCTCTGGTCCCCATAGATGATCTGGAAGACCTGACAGATGAGTGCGCAGGACTCCTCGGCAGCATCCTGGTCCAAAGGGGAGGAGAAGAAGGAGAGCTCAGGTCCTTACCTGTCTCTAGGTGACCCCTTGCTTCCTTAAACAGAGTGTGGGGAGACTCAGAACACACAGCAAAGCCCCCTTTAAATTCATTTTGAAGACATTTCCCATCGACATCTTGGGAGCCCAGAAACAGCTCTGGCACTACTGCCGTGAAAAATAAACCCCACATTTCTGAGAGGTTCATGGATTTTCTGAAGCTTATCTAAAATAAGCCATGTATTTAATATACATATAGAAGCTGAGGTCCAGAGAAGGAAGTAATTAGGTAAAATTAGAACTCAGGCCAGGAATATAGCTCAACGGCACATGTTGATCCTCCTGCCCCAGCCTCCTGACTGCTGAGATTACAGGTATGCACCATGATGCCTGGTTAAACATCGTACTTTTCAATCACCCTGTGTCTATAAAAAATTTTGGGTTCAACATAGTTACTACTACCAGATGCCTACTGGACGTCATATTTAGATATGAGCTTCCTACTACCCAGAACAAAAAGTGAAGCAGGATAAATACTACGCTTGAAGAAAAGAGTTTAAGTGCTTGGGTAAAACTTTTTTGAGATTGCATATTTGAAGACAGATTTATGTCTTTAATTTACCTCTTTATGTCTTTAAGCAAGAGATGCAGAAAAGCAATAACAATGAACAGAGATAAACTTCACAAAGCTATTTCCTATTTTGGGGCTCTAGAAAAGTCCAAGGCATAAATTAAAAAGGGGATGCAGGATAGGCATTGGGAGCTGAAGTTAGTACTGATCACGACACCTGGGCTGACAGTTACAATGACCCTACAAAATAAACGGTAGATCCTTATTTTATAGTTAAAAATATTGAGGTTTGAAGTGGTTAAGTGACTGAAATGGGCTCATCCAGCAGATTCAGGACATTAGTGCTGGCATCAGGGTCTTGGACTCTAACTTCCAAGTCTTCTCAGGAACCATGATGACTCACGAAGGAGACCAGAGGCTCAGAGGCCGCTGGAAAGCAATGCTCCATTACATCTGAGCCTACAAGTTCTTGTTTGCTTCTTCAGTGGCAGGCACTGGGCAGGTCCTGTGCCCTAGAGTCCAGCAGTCCAGTACGATAGAAAAGGCATACATTACCTCTATGTGCTTCAATTTAAATGACACAAACTCATTTTCTCTAAAGAAAGTATCTTTCTTCTTGGTATGCTACATGATATAACATGCCTCAATCCATCCATTCACTCAACATGCATTCATTGAGCACCTACTATGCGCCAGACATGGTTCTAAGTGCGAGGAGTAACGTGTGGATGCACAAGTCTCCTGCACTCTCCCTGGAGTGCATTTGGTCTAGGATGGTGTCAAAGGGAGAGTAGCAAGAGGTGAGGCCAGAGAGGAAATGGGGCTGGTGACTGCGCCCAAATGGCCTTATAAACAATCATAACGACTGCAGCTTTTCTGCTAAATGCAAGAAGAGCCACTGGAAGACCTGGAGCCAAGAAATGATGTGGCTTATGTGTTAGCAGTACTGCTCTTTGGCTTCGCAGAGGCACAGGCTGGAAGAAAGTGCTCAGCCAGTGAGGGGTGATAGCATGATCCGATGAGAGGAGACCTCGGCAGCAGAAGTGGACAAATGGATTTCAGCTATACTTGAAAAATAGGGCCAGCAAGATTTATTGAGAATGGGGATAATGTATGTGCGTGCGTGTGTGTGTGTGTGTGTGTGTGTGTGTGATGCATGCTCACTGCAAGGTTTAGGCCCAATCAACATAAGGGTAACACTGCCATTAAGCAAGACAGGGAGCCCACAAACCTTAGAATTGGGGCTTGGCATGGTCATTAGACTTTTGAATTGGGAGGCTTAATAGAGATGTGGTAAGAGATAAAATTAGGGGCACTTGCATATTTTAAAAGCCATGTGGTAAATAAATAAATAAATATCATGAGGCTAGTAGGGTGTGGTGGCATTTGCTTGTAATCCCAGCAGTCTGGAAGGCTGAGGCAAGAGGATCAAAGTTTGAGCCCAGACTGAGTAATAATGGCAACTTAGAGAAACCATGCTTTGAAATAAAAAACAAAAAAGAGGTTGCAGATGTAGCTCAGAGCACAGGCCTTGGGTTCAAATAGGAGGAACCAGCCATGGAGAAGGAGGCATGGAGGCAGGAGGAAACCAGAACATGGAGCACTGGATGCCAGGTATGAGTGTGTCTTCAAGGGGTGGGGTGTCTGAGTTTCCTGGAGACAGCTCCTGCACCTCTCCCTCTAGTGGGACACCCCATGTCTGCTTCCTCCACCACTGTTTACACTCAGGAAGCCTGAGAAATTGGAGCAGAGGGGCCACTTAGAAGGCATAAGGCTGGAAGGCCAACAAAGGGTGGGTAGCAAGAGGTGAGGCCAGAGATGAAATAGGGCTGGTGACTGCAGCCCAAATGACCTTATAAACAATCATAAAGACTGTAGCTTTTCTGCTGAATGCAAGAGGAGCCACTGGAAGAACTGGAACCAAGAAATGACCTCCAGCCCCCTAAGGGAGGATGCCAGATGCTGCTCCCCTCTGTATCCACAGCCTCCCAGCTCCTGCTTAGCATGTGGCTGACACTCAGTAAACATGCTCAGGAAAAAAAGGCAAAGATGAGTATGGAGATTGGGGGTGGGGTGGGACAGGTAGGGAAGAAGCCTGAGGCCATCTTAGTTGCCAAGAGTACCAGCTCTGAACTTCCTGGGTTTAAATTTTAAGTCACCACCTACTGCCTCTGCGAGCTTGGATTAGTGGCTCAACCTCTGAACTCTTTCCTTTCCTTGTAGTCCCACCACTCTGGAAGGCTGAGGTAAAAGGATTAAAAGTTTGAGCTCAGCGTAGTCAATTTAGCAACTTAGTGAAACCATATTTCAAAATAAAAAAGGGGCTTGGGATGTAGCTCAGTGTAAAGGCCTTGATTTCAATGTTCAAACCCCAGAATCCAGAGCCATATCCCCCAAAATGGGAATGCTGGTTGTTTTTTGCTTCTAGGGGTGGGCTGTGAGAATTAAATGTGAATGCTGTCCCCGTCTGACAAGGATTGGCACTTTGTCCCTGATGCTAATCACTGTTCTCGGGTTCTTAACCGCTCTGGTGCCAACACTGACTGCACTGGAGAAGAGGAGCTGGAGGAGGGGGTTCCCAGCAGGTCTACTGCTACTTTTGAGTTTTTGTTCCGTTGGGGTACCCAAGGGTGGTATTCCGAGGAGGGTCCACGGCTGGCGTCTCCGGCACACCTGACGTCCTGACGTGAGGTCTCTGGAGGGGGAAGGGCAGACCCTGGAAGCTCAAGAAGGGGCCGGGCAGCGTCTCGGGAACCTGGGAACCAGGTGCTCTCGGGCTCACCCTGTTGGGCACAGCCAGGATGACCAGGTTGCAGTAGGCGTCTGGGCTGGGGTCCTGAGGGTCGAGTGGGTTTGGGCCCGGGTGGCGCCGCTCCCAGCTGCCGCCGCCGCCGGCCGCCT